CAGGCATATTTTTCAAGCCTGCCCGGTGTGGATATACACTCAGAGTAACATCACACAAACATCTTATTCACCTGAGTACATTACACCAACACAGCGGAAGAGATATAGTTAAAAACGTACAAAACCATAATTTTACATGTATAAAGGTAGATGCAAACTCCAACGCGATTAATTGCCATTATGAAAATACATCGGTGCTTGGAAATACCAGATTTGTTTTTCGTGTTGAACATGATATCTCACGAGTGCCGGCGCAGAGAACCATGCAAGCAAAGCAAAAAATTAAATTTATACTTACTGCAGTTATATTTTTATTTCTATCACTCTTTCCATCATTTATAACAAGATTTTTCATAGTCTCGCAAGGATTCTTGATTGGATTCGATCTGGGTTAAAATAATGAAGATGGAGACAATTAAAAATGAATAGACAATTATTTTGTGCTAAATATACGCCTAAACCCGTGCATGCATGCATGCATGCATGCATGCATGCATGCATGCATCATACAATATCGGGAATGATTTAAAAAACCTATATACATTTGCAAAGCATTGGCCAGAAGCGCTCAAACAATACACCCTTTTCATAAATGGCTGCCGATTAAAAATTATTTTATGTGCATATAAAGTGGCCAACTAGCCTCGTACTCATGTTAAGATTTCAAAGGAATTTCTACCCAGAAACGAGGCTAGTTGGGCCAATTTATATGCACATAAAAGAACTTTTAATCGGCAGCCATTTATGAAAAGGGTGTATGCCATTATAGTTCCCTATAATCTAAATCTTTTGTCTGAATATGCAGTCAAGTCTGTACAGAATAGGAATTTCATATAACTATACTGTATACGGCAAATGAATTACATATAAATACACAATGTAGTTTCGCTTCATTATGACACGATCTTTTATTTTATATCAAATGATTTTTCAATACCTGCTCAATATTCTGGCTCTTTGTACTTTAACTTCTTCCAAGTTTTCGATAATGATCTTCAGTTGTTGTACGTCAATACCGATCTTTAAGAATTCTTCTTGCAAACGATTTTTAAGTCTTCCAGAGTCATAATCAGCCAATACTTTGATAAATCTTTCGTCTGTATGACATTGCACTAGTATATGAAGATACTCAGGGTTAATATTCTGAATCGCTTGGTCGTATCTTGCGCCACCAAGTACTTTCAAAACAACCCTGTCCAAAAGTTGTGCAACCGACTTATCGCCGCGGTAGATATCCAATAGTTTGGCTCCGTTGATATTAATAACTACACCCCCGGCCATTTTGACATTATCACTATTGAAAGAGATCGAAATATTTCCACCTGATGATGAAGAAGCAATGACTGTCTGATTTGTCCTTCCAGCGTAATTTGATGATTCCGCCATGACCAAATTGACAAATACCTGCCTTGTTAATTGGACAAACAAGCGATTAAAACACCTTACATAAATAATATTGTACTATAAAATTCCAAAAGTTAGGTCGGCATTTAAAACATTTTTTTTTAGTTAATAATGGTTTTCAATATAATTTCTGAACATTTCTATATTCTCAATTTATTGTATGTAGGGGAGGGGGGTGTTCAATTATATAGGCTTAGATATTTGTTCTAAAAAAGTAACAATTTTCAAAGAACCTGAACTGTTTGATACAGAAATTTGTTTAAATAATCAAATATTTTATTTCGGTGTAACCAGCTTATATATTAAATGCTTTTGAAATATTTCCCGGTATGAAAATCAAGGAAGCGCTTAGTTGCAGATATTTACTCGTTTTTTTTGCCGTTAATTAAATTTGGGTAATTTTACTCGTTATGTTGTGAGTGCATTATTGAGTGAAAATTGCTTGCAGTGTAATACTTAAAAAGTGATAAAAAAATTTGAAAAAGTTTAGTTCATTCATGCAGTATATATGTACTGTATATACATATGTGTTTGGTTCACGAAATGCTATAAACATTCTCGATATCATATAGATAAATTTTTTTCCTCAAAAGGTTATTACTATACAGCGTGTGAGTGAGTTTTTCTTCGAAGAGAAATCATCAGCCACCTGATGAAACAGGCCTTAGCGGCAATTAACAGTTTGAAGTAAACTACACTTGCACATTTTGCAATTCAAAGTTGACTATAACAATTCGAAAGCATTGAGCTGTATCTCCTTTCTTGGTAAAGTGAAAGAAAGTGCAGACAAAAATGCAAATGCGTTTGATTTCACAATCTGTTTATAGTTATAAGAGTTAAGACTCTAATTTATAGTATATAATAGGTTTATCATTTATTTGAGCTTATATAATGGTTCATGGGCGATATGGCTCATTCACTATCTAATTCGACAATAATTGTAAAACGTGACCTGTTACTAATGCCCTTATTTCGATTCAAAAGAGTCACTCTGTCTTTTCCAGACATGATCATTTTCGTTGGATTTAAAACCTAAACAATCATAGGCTATATTTTTCTTTTAAACAAAGCCTGAATGACGTCTAAAACTGCAAGCATTCAGTAAGAATATCATTCTTTTACGACACAAAGACTATAGTGATCCTTCAAATTACTTGTTCGATATATTCTATTCTTTAAAACCAATGTATATCTACGGAAATCTGAATGCTACTCTACCCACCTCTCCAAGCGAATTTTACCAACAATTCCGTTGATTAAAGTTACACACAACTGCTGTTTCGAGCTTCAGCAATACCTACAAGAAAGTGCATGTTAGAACAACTAACTAGCATTCCAGTAAAAGACATCGGGAAAACATGTAATACGTATACATGCAGGAAATTCAATAATATCTTACCATAATGAAGAAAAATAGATTTTTTCGAGAAATGTGAGTTCGTAGTTAACGCATCTCACAGCTTGTGCTTTGCTGTGAATGATTAGTGTCACGCCAACAAGTTATACATTTAACTCATTGAAGTTATTGTCTTTTTCTTGGAAGAAATTACCATGATATGAATCGAAAGTGAAAGAAATAACGCGTGAGTAAGTTTGAGCAGACAGCTTTAAACGCTAGTTGAAACGTTTTTCGATTGTTGTCGACTTTCAAAATGCTCTATCCCAAGGGAAATAATTTGGTGAACATATAAATGAAAAACTATGAAAATGAAAGCATACTAAATTAAACAATCATACATTCTTTTGAAGTGCCCAACAGTGCCATACAATGAATGTGTTTGAAATATGTCTGATATTTCCATATGTGTATTGAAAATGGCAATCAAGGACATGCAGGGTAGAAAATATGAGCAGTTTCGCAGGCTCGTAATATGTCCGATCCGTCAATATGTTCGATACGTCAAGTTTAATTTTGTTTCTTACAGTCTAGAAAAGCTAATCACCGCTGCCGTTTCTTCTATGAAAGTACATGATTATAGACCATTATAGAGTGTATAATGTTGCCAGTTTGCTTCTAATGCTGAACAATCAATCGCAGTTGCCTCATCTTATAATATAAAATCAAAGAAACAAGCAATAAAAACAAGCACTGTAGTTGATCAGGTGATCTGAAAAAATGGCACCGGAAAAAATGGCACCGGGAAAAATGACTGGGACGGAAAAAATGGCAACAAAAAGAATTGCGCAAGATACATATTACTCTCGATTTCAATTTGCTTTTGAAATATGACTTTGAATTTTTTTTTTCCCCTCGGAATATTTGTTCCGAAGATATAAACAAACATTCGATGTTACTTCAAAAGCAAATTGAAATCGAGAGTATATATTGAAAATAATTCACTCAAAGTAGAATTGAAATTTTTTATGGCTTATTAGTTTTGTGTATAATAATTATTAATTATATTATTACAATATACTGAAAAGTTTACTTAGTTTTAGAATATGCCCTACAAGTATCACGCACTATCAAAACAATCTAGTATATTTAATGTAACATATTAGTTTGATAATCGATCTTATTGTTCAAATATCAGCCATATACTGTATAGTCAATAACTAAAACCTTATGTTCCTTCCAACTCCTCTCAAGAACTCTTCCAACGACTTTGGTCCCTCGCCATACTGGATACACATGTTTCTAAGGCGTTGTTGCAGTTGGAAGTAAATGCGCTTTGTCTTCTTCTTTGGTGGATTTCCAAGTTAATCTTGCATCATCAAAGTTGACGCCGTAGCATCTTAATTCCTGCTTCAGGCAGCAGGGTTTATTTTAAGAAAAATTTAGAACTGCACATATAGAGATGTTACGAAGGCAACAGGTGTTTGACTGGGGGGGGGGGGCGAAGGATTTTTTACTTGCATTAGGTTACAGAATAATGGTGTGCTTGGATGGGAGAATTAGAGAAAGGCCAGACAAACTCGATTATGGGTGGGGAATTAAGCTAGGGAGTGTTCCCCTAAACATTTTTAATCTAGAGGCTCTTAAGTTCTGGCAAAGATTTGTTTTATCCAACCACTCACAAGAACTGTTTCAAAACATGTTACTGGGAATCATGGATATTCAATATATGACAACCTTAAATTTGAATTTGAGGCAGCAAAGAATATTAGGTTCTCCCACTTTAACCTCTTTTGGGGAGCTTCGCTCGCCCCAATTTTACCTTCTTTTCCATTACCCCAGCACAAAAGTGATTTGTGAGGAAAATAGGAGGGTCTGGAGTCCTCCCCCAGAAAACGTTTATATTTCTGATGCTCAATTAATGACAACACCATTACGCCCAGCCTCTTGGCGAACACATTTAAAAATGGTAGAAGCGTAACCAGGATTATTTATATTAATAATTTAAACGTTCTCTGGTTTTTAAAAAAAAAATATTAAAACGAGCTTTCGACTGCCATTCTACAGTCTTCAACGGGCAAGTGATAATGAATTACATGGAAAAAACACTGGTTTAGAATTACATACACAAACAATGAACCTGTGATTCCGGTGCAACGCTCTAACCAACTGAGCCATAAAGGCCAGCCGTCGAGCTGCACCGGAATCGCAGGGCGCCTGATCAATTCCTGCCAGAGATCTAAAGTTGCATTTTTTCGTTTCTGTTCCTCGACAATTTCCATCCGTACAATACCTAACAAATATTTGAATCACCACAAATTCCTTCAAACTACTCAAAAATGCGAAAAATTGTTATGAATTATGTTTCATATTTAAGCATTTATTGTATAACATCGAAAATACGCGGCGAGATGACTGTTAAAGCCGATAAAATAATCAGCAGTGCGCTGTGACTGCTGTGCATGTTTACTTCATTCGTCTTTTAAAAGCACACGAATAAAACCAACATTGTAATTGGTCAACAACCGCGCAGGGTAATACTTCCTCGGGACTTTTCTTGCCTCTTCGTCTTTCTAATAAACAATACAGTAAAATTTAAACTGTTACTGAATGTGTTTATATTAAGACTTGCAGCAAGTCAAAGAGAAAGCTAACGTCTGTATAGATTACATAACAATTGTGATAAATGAAACCGTTCCCCAGCTTTAAAAATACGCCAAGCAAGAGACGGCGAGGTCTACCAAATTAATGTGAATTTTGTGAAAAATTAGAAACCAATTAATCAACTGCGGGTCTACATTGTTGCGATAACCTATATAAACTATTCTCATTTCTACAACCTGTGGTTTAATCTGCTCACCAATGTAAATGTGGGAACTTGTTTTAAAAATACTCGAAGAAAACCAATGGAACCAGGTTATATTATTATAGTACGATTCAGGGTTCGTACAAACATGAATGTCCTTGAAAGTCCTTGAATTTGAAAACAAAAATTCAAGGCTTTGAATGTCCTTGAATTTGCAACGGAGTCCTTGAAAGTCCTTAAATCCATCTTGCCTTAGTTTTTGTGACTAGCCCGTTCGCGGGCTATTAAAGTGTGACTTCATACCCGTCTTCGCCTGTTTCATTGTATGTTAAATCATTATTTGTTCTTAATAAATTGCGTGCCATCGCCATTATATGTTCTTGTGGTTCAACCAGTGAGACTGTCAGTCACTTCTTCTTTGACTGCGCCAATATGCAGCTCGACGCGCTGTTGTTATTGCTTCCGCTACACATTTATGTTGTTAAAAAATACGTTTATCATGGGTTTTAAACGGCCATCCCGACGTTTCGCAACATACAAATGCTAATCTTTTTCTAAGCGTTCGAAATTTTATTGTGAACACTAAACGCTTTTGTTAAAGTCAAGAACACTTTTCAACCTTGCCTTGCGGAAATGTTAATTCTGTAAGATAGAAGACGCTGTTAATTCTGCAGGTGCATGTCGATGTGTGTGTCAAGATTAATTTTATTCTTTTTCTCATACGTTTCGTTGCCACTCTATATTTATTAATTTCACTGCAAACTACAATCTTGGCCATAAACCGTAGGACGACGATAAATTTTTATGCATTTTTAAGGCCTCCCCCCTTACTCCCATTCAATGTTGCCGTTTCGTGTATATTTATGATCTGACCTACTCTACAACAAAATTGTACGTGTACTAGGAATGTGGGAGAGCAACATTGAATGGGGGGAGCGGGGTGGGGTGCAAAATGATTTTAAAACCCAAGTATATTAAAAAGTTGCGAATTTGTTTTGTCGTTCTACGAACTTTTGGCCAAGATTGAATCTTGGCCATAAACCGTAGGACGACGATAAATTTTTATGCATTTTTAAGGCCTCCCCCCTTACCCCAATTCAATGTTGCCGTTTCGTATATATTTATGATCTGACCTACTCTACAACAAAATTGTACGTGTACTAGGAATGTGGGAGAGCAACATTGAATGGGGGGAGCGGGGGGAGGTGCAAAATGATTTTAAAACCCAAGTATATTAAAAAGTTGCGAATTTGTTTTGTCGTTCTACGAACTTTTGGCCAAGATTGTATGTATCTATTAATGGTAGGCAAGCTTTCCCTATATAAGCCTACGGCTTTTGGAAAAATTGCCATTTCTTTTTTTTGAAATTAAATATTGTTTATATGAATAATACTGTTGGCTGCACCATTGCCATCAACCATTGCTTTTAAATCGAGTGATTGTTGTAGCCATTTGTTGGCATTGTAAGAAAGATACTGGATCTGTTTTATTTTGACCATTATTCTATTGTAATTATTAATTTTGTATCACAATGAATGTTTGTGATGAATGTTTATGACAATGTCAACTCCAGCTGTATTGAACAGCTGAATAGGCTAGCCACATGTACGCAGTAAACCGTTTCCCCTCGTTTTAGGAGTCTAAAGGAGTCCTTGAATATATTTCCTGATTTCCTTCAATTCACTCTTCCTGACCTGTACACAAACCCCGAGTACTTAGTCATGCCAACCACATTGTATATTATGCTAATTATAAACTTTTTTATTATGTTTCATTTCTTGCATGTTTATACCAATGTAAAATGTAAAATGTATTATTCGCCGAAGGCGAAATGATTGTACCGGTGAATATTCACCGAGACAGAATCGAGGTGAATATTCACCGTAATTACTGAGCCGAATAATTGTTTTAATAGTAAAAATTTTTAATGAATAAAAGAAAATATCCAAATATAAGTTTAATTAATATTCAGAAATAAAACTGTTTTTGGCCGGTTTACGAACTTTACGGTTACTGTTTTAGTGTTGCAGTGTTAGGTTTCTTGTGCACGCACGATTTAAAAATGGCTTCCTGTGACTTTATTGCTTTATTACAAAGTTGTTTTTCTCGATAACTACATAAAATATAAACACAATGATGGAATGACGTTTTCAACAGACTTAGAATTAAAAAATCGTTTCTGTTTAGCATTAATTTGGTCGAATGCCTAAAAATATAAAAGTTTTAATACAGTTTTCACTCTACAAGTTTCGAAAACACAATACGGCGTCAAGACACTGTACAGCACAATGAAAACATGACATATCAAAAGAAATAGTATACAAATTGAGATATATATATATATATACATAGAGGATACAAAACAAAATGGTTTTAAAAGAATATCACGGCCGCAAGGTTTTCCCCAACAGTCGGGGTAGTTTTTGCTATTTGTTTGAAGTGAATGTTTAGGAGTCTTAAATAACTTTAAATCGTCCGTGAATATGTTTGACACAGTAAAATAATAAAGAATAATAAAGTAAATACAACATTTTGTGCATCTCTCGTTTTCTGGGGACAATTTTTTCAATATTTAGTCGATTTTAAAACCAAATTTGCCGAATCATTCTTTTTGAAAAGCATTATTTACTAGTTTGCAGGTGGTAAATAATGCGTCAGATTTACAAGTCAACTAGCCAATCAGAAAAATTTATACCAAAGTATATTATAGTTATATATGATACATAAATTGGATATTAGACCCAGGGGTGATTTGATCATATTCACCAGGTGATTTGATGACATCTCCTGGGAGATGCTATTCGTGAAACCATGCGAGTCTGCACACAAAACTCTATGCAGTAAACAATGCAATAAAAATTGACGTTCAATTTTTTATTAGTGATTAAATGACATTAAGCTCAAGGTGGCTCGTTATATTAATTCAAACAATATATTAATAAAACAAAACGTTGTGTTATAAGAACAAACGCGCGTGACCATTTGTATCCGTGGGAATATTAACGAAAGGACTTACATATATGACCTGACATGGCGAATTGCTCACGCCATCTCGGGTCATTGTATGTGTTTATCACGTGTTGCATGATGTCAATGGCTGACGTCATTAGAAATGCCAATTTTCTAAAAACAATGCGCTATGTTATTATTTTGTTTCAATATCCCAAAAATAAAAAACCCGTAATGCCAAAAACATTTTATTCAAAAAATTGGCATTACCAATCTTTTTTTATATTTTGCTTATTGTTAGTGTGTGTTCTAAGTAAAATGATGCCCGAAAAAAATTGGAGGTCACCGTGCTTTTTCCTGAAATATTACTTTCCAAAGAAATATAGGCTATTTTAGAGTGAATTTTGTACACGAGTGTTGCCATAGCAACGAGCTATGTGTTACGAAAACTGACATAATTCGAAAAATGAAACATCGAAATAGATAAACATCTTGATATCTGTCGCATAAAACCTAAAAATACGACGTTTAAAATTGTCACTGTTAGTCACCTGAAGTCTTTGAAAACTGCATCGAGCCACCTTAAGTCGGGCGCATACGCGGCGATTTTAGTCTTCCGATTTATGGTTTAAAGCTTTAGATGTATTTAAAAAAGCCAATGCAGAGAGTTGAGAATAATGAGCCCATAGCTTATTCTAGTGTTTGTGCTTCGCTTGAGCAAGGTCGTGAAATCTTTATGACACAGTACCAACTTTCAAAGTTTAAAATGTTTATTGTTTTTTAAATACTATACAAATTTATTGTGTTGTTATTGTATATAAAGTTATCAACTCTAATGCGAGCACCATGTGGCATGCATTGCATATGTTTCAGTTGATTTTTTTCTAACTTCTGGTCTTCCCCTTCATGTGTGATTCCCATGCGGAGATCACATTGACACACATTGCACGCAGTGTGACTGCGTTGCTGTAATAACTTTGTGCTGTGTCAGGATGACTCTGTCCAAACAGTTTTAATCTGATTTGAAGAGCATGTTGATGCGATTCTAATGCTAACTTGTAGTCTCCCATCTCATGTTGTGTGATTCCAATGCAGTAATAACTTCGAGCAGTGTCAGGATGATGCTCTCCAAACAATTTTAATCTGATTTGAAGAGCATGTTGATAAGACACTAAGGCTAACTTGTAACCTTCCATCTCATGTTCTGTAACTCCAATGTTGTGATAACTTTCAGCAGTGTCAGGATGATTCTCACCAAATACTTTTAATCTGATTTGAAGAGCATGTTGATCTGATGTTAATGCTGACTTGTAATCTTTCAACTGATGTTGTATGATTCCAATGTTCTCATAACTTTCAGCAGTGTCAGGATGGTCTTCTCCATACAGTTTTAATCTGCTTTGAAGAGCAAGTTGGTGTGACTCTAATGCTGATTTGTAGTTTTTCATCTCATGTTGTGTGACTCCAACACCATTTCGACTTTGAGCAGTATAATCTGGATGATCTTGTCCAAACAGTTTCAATCTGATCTTAAGAGCTTGGCGATGTGACTTTAAAGCTGACTTGTATTTTTCCATCTCATGTTGTGTAATCCCAATGCAGTAATAGCTTCGAGCAGTTTCAGGATGATCCTCTCCAAACAGTTTTAATCTAATTTGAAGAGCATGTCGATATGAACTTAATGCTAACTTGAAATTTTTCATCTCGTATTGTGTGACTCCGATGCTATGATAACTTCGAGCAGTGTCAGGATTATTCTCTCCAAACAGTTTTAATCTGATTTGAAGAGCATGTTGATCTGACTCTAATGCTGACTTGTAATCTTCCATCTCATATTGTGTGACTCCAATATTATAATAGCTTTGAGCAGTGTCAGAATGATTCTCGCCAAACAGTCGTAATATATCTTGAAGAGCTTTTTGTTTCGTCTCTAATGCTGACTGGTCATGAGAATCTTGTTCTGATCCCCGTTCTGGTTTTATTTCCTCTTCCATTTCTCTACCCTAAATTAGAATATAGCATGGTCGGTAAGTTGTGTCTGAAATTCTTTCATTAGCTTGAAAGTATAAGAATCGGTATCCTACAATTGCAGGCTGAAAAGAACAAATAGACAATATGGTTAGTATTTACGGGGGAAGGAAAGTCTTTAATGTGTATGGCACGTGGTATAAAGGATTTTTTCTGTGTTGGTGTTGTGTACTCAGATGAATATGATGTTTGTGATGTTACTCTGAGTGTATATCCACACCGGGCACGCTTGAAAATATGCCTGGCCACGGTGGGAATCGAACCTAATTAGACCATTGGAATACTAGCCCAATGCTCTGCCAACTGAGCTACGCGGTTAAGTAACAGAAATTGTGATGTCTCAGAAATAAATCAACCCAATTTACTGAAACTTGACTTTATGCAATAAACGCTTGCTTTACTTTCATAGTTTGAATTTATCAAAATCAAATTGGACCTGCAGTCAGAAAGGAGTGGGAAAAATGGACTTTCTACCATGTAAACATCAAGATTTTTTCTTTCATGTTTTTCTCTCAAACATGACCATGAAGTTATACACCTTAAAATACATATGAATGTGATAAGATATGAATAAACTGCAATTGCAGTTCTTTATTACTGAAGAGTGCCGTAGGGAAGAGGCCAAAAGTGGGGGTACTTAATTTTCCCCCCAAAATGTTCTCTACACATACCATTTTTCACAAACTTTTCCATTAATGTACGGTAATGTAACTATTACTTTTTATTCCGAGCCACTCTTAGGCCCTAAATTAATATTGACGCTGTATGCCTGGGATACTTGCAAGATTTTTATTGCATTTTCCCCCTCAAATGTTTATTTACCTGCGTATTTTTCACTATGTCACTCTCTGCACCATCCATTACATTTTTCTCGTCATCGCTAAGATGAGATCAGCATTAAAACTATATTGAGATGTTCTTTGTAGGGTTGCATGGCGATAAAACATAATACTTCTTGTTTGTGGACACAACACGGAAATTGACCTAGTATTAGCAATGATGAAGATCCGGGCTTACGGCTTACGGATCGAGCTTTGCAGTAATAAATTCATGTGGTGTTTCCACAAACAATAAGTATTATAATATTGAGATGCTTGAAACCTTCACTATTATTGTACCATTTTGCCAATGGAAATGTTTTCCTGTTCTTATTCTTTTTACATAAAAAAGACATTACTCTTTACACGACATGCATTGTTAGCATTTCTTGAAGCGGGTGGGGGAGGTTTTCATTGAATTTCAAGATCGAGTTATATAATTTCCATAAAACATCTAGCATACCTCGTTTTCATAGCTATAGTTTCCTTTATTTCGTTTACCTCCACCATGTTTTCAATTTCCACCTTCAGTCCTTCTAGTTTAATTCCAACCTGTGAAAATTCGTTCTGCAAGCGTTCTTTCATATCTGCTAAGACCTACAGAAATCTCTCGTCTGTAAAACAGTGTAATAGAACATGCAAAGATCCTGGTCGGATACGTCGAACTTCTGTGTCATCTCGTTCATCACCAAGACATTTTTAACCACACTCTCGATTATTGGACTTATTAATTTATAACCAAAATAGAGAGCACCTAGTGTAGTTACAGTTTTACACACTTCTCGGACTACTTGCACATTGTCAGTGCCGATATTGATCGAAAAGTCACCACCACCGGGAAAGTTGCACGATACACTAGCACGTAGAGCCTTCACAGTTTCCGAAAACGGTTCTGCCATAACAAAATTTGTCCTGGAAGTAGATTATGAGAAAGTGGTCAACTGCTGGCGACTAATAAGGAACAGCTGCTAAAAATGCAATTTTAGGTCCCTGACAGGAACCGAACCTGCTTTAGAGCAGTTGTCGAATTAAATTACTTGTATTTGTGTTAATTACCGGTATTGAACATGCAAAGATTTTAGCGAATTAAGCCCAATGCAACGTTTTTAGCGAATTAAGCCCAATGCAAACCACATCAGTTTTGTGTATTTTGCCAACCGAGTTTACTCTGCCCGGCAAAGAAAAAAAACTTTTGCTAATTGCTCATGTAATTGTAATCCAAATTTAACCAAAATTTAACCAGTTTAGCATTGCGCAATGTCCATTTGCCACATAAATTTTCACATTGATACGTTTGATCCCTAAGCACGCGCGTAGCGAGGGTACTAATTCCGCTCGGCTATTAATACCCGGAAAAGGAAAGCAAGCGGAGTGAAAAAAGTTGTGGTGCGCACAAGAAATCTCTAAAACTCTGGTTGAACGAGAGTGAGCGTTTCCTGAATCTGGTGTGCTTGTCAAACGAGAACAAGTGTTTCATTTAATTTAATTTAATTTAATAAGATTCGGCTACTATTTAAATACAACATATAGAGCCAGGGAATTCGCCACAGGTTTCCCCAATTACGGCGATCCCATATAAACAAGAATAAAATTACTGTACAAAACAAATTTTCAAGCAACTCAACAAGCTAAAACTAATAAGGCTGTCCAAGTTCAATAATATAGATTATAGGACTAACAACAACTTATTACATTGTTAAGCGATCTGGCTCTTTTGCACTTTACACACACTGATTTCCAGGTGCGCGGATCGTCACATTTGAATGTTTTGGATAGTGCATGTTTGTAGTAGAGTTTAAGACCTGATTTAAAAGACACCAAACCTATATCTCTAGTACGCAAGTTACTATCTAATATGTTCCACGTTTTGCAAGTTCTTATAAAAAATGAGGTCTGGAATGTTACGGTTTTCGCATAAGGAATAACAAATCTAATTAGGTTTGCGTTGGATTCACTTCTTGTAATTCCTGATCCAGCCATGATCGGTAGAGCACGTTCGTCAATGTACGTAAGATTGTTGATGATCTTGTAGAGGAACACCAGATCCAAGTATTCGTGCCAATATGAGACAGGTAATATGTCAAGCTGAAGGAGTCTTGTCTTGTAAGAAATGTCTGTGATAAACCCAAGATTTGGTATGTATTTAGTTGCTCGTCTCTGCACTTTCTCAACGTCCTCAATAAGTTTCACTGACTGGGGACACCAGGCTTGGGTTGCATAGGAGAAGTTACTTCGCACAAGTTGAAGGTACAGAAGCCTTCTCGCGTTGGTATCCGTTATCTCTATGGTAGAACGTCGGATTAACCCGAGCGTTTTGTTGGCTTTTGACCGAACTTTGTTGATCTGAACATTCCATAATAGTTTAGAACTGATCGTAATGCCCAGATCGGACTCTACATCAGAAGACAACAGTTGGTGATCGCCAATTGCATATGGGTAAATTAAGGGAGACTTCCTTCTCGTGATAGTCAACACTTTACACTTCGATTTGTTAAAGCTCAACATGTTCTCATTTGACCAACAATGGAGGCTTTGAATATCCGATTGCAATGCCAGTGCATCGTTACGATTTTGCACACATCTGTGCAGTTTGGTATCATCAGCATACAAACCGACCCCAGTAGAAATGGATATGTTATCGGGCAAATCGTTAATGTACACCAAAAAGAGGAAGGGAGCCAGCAATGAACCTTGTGGGACTCCGGATGTTATTGGTAAGGGAGTAGATGTCGCACCGTGAACAGTTACTCGTTGACAGCGACCTGATAGATAGTTTTCAAACCACAACAAAAGAGAGCCAGATAGACCGAAATCGCGAAGTTTTTGTAACAGATTGGAGTGGTCAACGGTATCGAAAGCCTTGGAAATGTCCATGAAGACAACGTCTGTTTGTAGTCCTTTATCTAAGTCCTTCCCTATTTTGTGTAGTGTCGATAGTAATTGAGATGTGGTAGACCTTCCACTAATGAATCCATATTGTGCTGAGTGAACGCTTTCCTGTATGCGTAATGTTATGCGAGAGTTGAAGTGACTGGTTAAACGAGCAAAAACTCGCATCAATTCTCATCAAAATTTGAACTAGTTTAAAGATGTTGAGATTGCATGGGAGTCAGTGAGAGTTGGCGGTCAAACGTGGGCGCGAGAGTTGCAACCCTCGTCAACTCTCATCGTCGTTTGACCAGGGCTTCATTAACTAATATATCTAATTTAGCAATTGAGTAAGTATAATGCCTAATGGTACGTGTGCACGGTTACGACTAATTTTGCTTTGAATTTCATTTTATTTCATTTTTATAGCATGACCTGAAACACTAAAGACAAAGTTATTACGCACTTACAGATGAAAGGTATAAATCTACCGTATACCCATATCGAAACAACTTCCTTTAATACCAACAGTGTTTGTGAAGTTACTTGAGGACGTGGATTTTAAATTGAATGAAATTCAGGTTAGTTATTTCTTTTGGTTAAACACCGCGTTTATTTATTGGATAAAAAGGTGATTATCACAAAGCTATCAAACAAATATTTTGTCTGGATCCATGCATTAGAAAGCGCATCTCCCGGAACCCAGGTTTTAAATGTGTCACTGAATATACTGCTTCCATGTGATAAGATAAGATAAGATAAGATAAGATAAGATAAGATAAGAGACGTTATTTAGAGAGGATGACACTTGACAGTACGAATACTGATGACTCCGTGGTCCTCTGGTAACATTCTTACAGTATTTCTAAGTTTAAGGATATTAAAATATATTCATAAAGTGAAAAATCATTATAATATTGGGACTATCTCTGGTTTTATGCACACAAGTGACCAAACAATGACAAAAATAGGTTAGTTCCTCGGGTAGAGGAGAACTGATTACGTGATCGGCTAGTTGTGTTCTTTGTCGCGTCAGATATAACCCAATCCCTATCTCTAAGCCTAATCCTTAAATTAATCTTACCCTAACCCTAACCCTAACCTCAACACTAATCACTATAACTAACTGGTGACGTAATCTGTGATGAAAATTATTCTACCCGAGGAAGTACGCAATAAAGCATTCATTTATAGTAAATTGACTATAGTAATGTTACAAGAATTTTGTCACTGATTTCAGCGCTTTGAGAAAAACAGACCTGACTGCGTAATTGGACTTGCATAATTTACACATAAATACTTGATTTAGTATCCATGCGTCTCTGACTGCGGACTGCGTTCTAGTTTATATCACAGCAACTAAATAACTTCGTTTGGAAAGTAATAAACGGGGTAAAATTCAGAAATTTGGGGCAAACTAAGTGAACACTATCGAGCGGTTCACGGGTTCAGACGCATACCAAGAAGAACTAGCATGATACAAAACAGAGGTTTCCTTTTAAATTACATGAAATAATTCAAAAAGTAAAATTTCCACAAATGCGTGTAGCAAATTGCTACCATATTTTTCAACAACAATGAAATGTGAAGGAAATTCTACAAGAACAAATGAAATATGAAGGAAAATTCAAAATATAGTCAAAAATGCTAATATTTAATATATTTTGCAAATAAAGCGTAAAATAAACCTAAATTTGATCACAATTTAACCGAAAGTGGTCATCTATAAAATTATCTACTACACGGCTAAAAACGCACAGGTTGTTCCAAGTTGATATCGACAGGCGTGAACAATGTTGTGCAGCCAACTATGAACAACTTGTCAACCATGTTGTTCCAAGTTGTTACACTACAGTTGAACAATGCTACATGTTGACAATACTGTTCATAGTTGGCCGCACAACATTGTTCACGCCCATCGATATCAACTTGGAACAAGTTGTTGATTTTCTCAATTTTTACGCTTGTATGAATATAGCATGGTCCAGAATAATGTGAAAGCGAATACTTCATGTAATATCAATACTATGAAAATAATTGCATAAATTATAATAATTAAATCTTTGTTGATATATTCATTTATATTCTCTACGTTTAATGTTCTTCCACACTCTGAAGTCATGCATTGTAAATGTCGCTCTACCAATTGAAGACAAAGTCATTTTTTAGAGTAAATATTAACAAGAATGTGAAACTAAAACACACAAATCGTACCGGTTGGACTGGTGTTAATAGTGAGCTTAAAGTTGACGTTTTTTACCAATCACGGTCCTTGACCCAGTCTTCTGACGTTACTCGTGCCGTTCGTGTTGTCAAAAACGTCACTTGCTTAAGCTCGCTAATATAACTGCAATACTGCATCTTCCGAACATCAGGCAACCTGCACGTAAATTTCATATTTTTCAAACAATAACATGTTTTAGTTATAATCGTATTGTAATTCTTATTACTTTATTCCTACAAAAAATAAGTATACTCGATAAAATATCATATTTCTGACAAAGATAATCGGTGTAGCTCATTATTAAATGTTGTCACCCTGAATGACGTCATTCTATTCATAGTTTTTTGTTATCTCACTTATCTGTTATCTCACTTATCTGTTATCTCACTTATCTGTTATCTCACTTATCTGTTATCTCACTTATCTGTTATCTCACTTATATGTTATCTCACGTCTCACTTATCTCACGCTCGTGGGCGAACGCGGAAAGTACAAAATAATTATTCCCTCGGTGGGCCTGCACGCGGGCTAATATATAAACGAAAATTCGTTCAAATCGCGTATAAAGCTAAGAATATCCAACAAATGCAGATAAACAATAAACTGTTCATGTAACTGTATAATTATAAAATAGTACATGAAGTATCGATCACCTTTCGTTCAAACGTCGATAAAAACGGATTTTTCTGCCATTAACAGCGTACGTGTCATCTTTGTCGACCCTCTTGCGATTTACAACTCTCGATATGACGCCTTTAATTAAATACTATTCATGTGACTTATGATTACTTGAACTTCGTTACTTGAACTTTGCATGCAGAATTATTACGAAGTTGATTACTTTAACTTTGCATGCAGGATTATTACAAAATCCAGAAAGTATGACCACGTAACTCCACTTCTACGTCGACTAAATTGCCTACCAGTGAACAAACTACTATAGTTTAGAGACGCGGTTTTGAGCTACAAAGCAACAGGAAGGGAGAAGATCCAGTTTGATTATTCGTTGAAGAACATTCCAACACCGTCAAAGCATATGTATAAATCAAGACTTTTTAGCATGGCCGAAAGTTTCCTAAAAATAATGCGTTGGAAAGCACATTTTTTCTTGAACACAACATCGGAGCATAGAGAATACCCATCGAAAACGACATGTTCAACCTTGTAGAGAACATTAAATTTCGCAAAGCATCAAACCTTTTCAATCAAAGTTAAGCAACGATATCATTAGAATTAATGGTTCAGACAAAGTATTTGCATTCGCCGACAAGTCACGAAACATTTACGAGATGAGTAAGGACAAGTACTGTAAATTATTAAAAGAAAACATCACAAGTTCATAGGCTATAAAACAGCAGATGAAGAAGCAGTCACTGATATTAATCGCGAATTGAGAGATATTACAGCGGAACTTGACATAGCGAACAAAATCGAAACGATGACGAACACAGACGCATTCATATCAATGAAGGATCACAAAGAGAACTTCTGTAACAAACCAAAATGTACACTTATCAATCCATATCCAAAAACAACCTTGGACGTGTAAGCAAGCAGATCTTAGAAAACATCAACAGAATAGTGCGAGTCAATACCAAGCTAAACCAGTGGCGAAGCGCAGCAGATGTAATTGCATGGTTTAACACATTAGAAAGTAAATCAACATTTTCGTTCATCGTATTTGATGTTGTAGACTTTTACCCTTCAATTTCAGAAAACCTTTTATCGCAAGCTTTAAATTACGCCAGCCAATTATCGAAATCTCTGAACAACAGATCAATATAATTATGCATAGCCGAAAATCTTTAATGACTATTCAACAAAGGCAAGCCATGGTGCAAGAGGAATAATGCAAATATGTTTGATGTTGCAATGGGCAGTTACGATGGTGCAGAAATATGCGAGCTCGTTGGTTTATTCATCCTCGACAAATTAAGAGCCGAATTTAAGAATGCCAACATACGACTATACAGAGGCGATGGACTGGCAGCTTTCAAAAACGTGGGAGCCAGAACCTCGAACAGCATCGGAAAACGATTTGCAAAATGCCTAAAGGACCTTGGTTTAAACATTACCACACAGACAAACCAGAAAATAGTAAATTACCTTGATGTCACCTTTGATTTAAACAATGGCTCTTATAAGCCCTATAAAATTGATTTAAACAATGGCTCTTATAAAACCAGATAACACCCCACCCCACATCAACGTACAATCAAACTACCCGCCATCAATCATTAGACGAGCACCTACATCAATTAGTCAACGAATTTCTTCAATTTAACAAATAGATCACATTTTCCCGTTGTCTGTCAATCATAGATACACAGTATGACGTCATATGTGGTAAGAACAAAAAAAGTGTCCACCAGCCGCCTAGGCGAGTATATGAGTTTGTATGCATTTCATTTAGGACAGATAATCTCAACTGTTTTAGGGTAAGTTGACAATGAGGTCAACATGGTAACGCTGCCCGAACCCCAATCCGGAACGAAACGTCCGAAACCGACCACACCCAAAAACGACGCTTTCGCCATAGTGCTATCTACCAAACCATACAAGGCTTGGCTATTCTGAGGTGCTTATATGGTTCAGAGATGATGCTTTTGGGTGTGGCCATTGGTAAGTGTGAAATGCCTAGCACTGATATTTCACAAGAAAATGATCATGCAATACTCAAAGTCAAACGTCAATTTGTGGCTTACAACTTCAGATAAACAGCAGTGGACTTACATTACCCTTTTTCCTAAATCGTTTTGATAGAAACATAATTGGCACTTAT